CAAAGCTAGAGAACTAACAAGGATGCTTAGAACGTTGAAACTCGAAGAGGAAGCGTTGGAAGCAGAGCGATTAACCCAATCTGCCGCTGTCACCATTCAAGTAAGATTTCATTAACAATTCGAACACCTTGGCAATGTTTCAGTCATATTATCGAGGATGGAGAACCCGAGTGTCGTTCAGAGCCATGAAACAGGAGAAACTCGAAAGAGAAGCGCTGGAAGCCGAACGATTGGCTATTTCTGCTGCTATCACTATTCAAGTAACGTTTCAGTACTGTTTCTAGCATCTCACAATGTTTCAGGCTTTTTACCGTGGCTGCAAAGCTAGAGAACTAACAAGGATGCTTAGAACGTTGAAACTCGAAGAGGAAGCGTTGGAAGCAGAGCGATTAGCACAATCTGCCGCTGTCACCATTCAAGTAAGATTTCAATAACAATTTGAACACCTTGGCAATGTTTCAGTCATATTATCGAGGATGGAGAGCCCGAGTGTTGTTCAGAGCGATCAAACAAGAGAAACTTGAAAGAGAAACCCTGGAAGCTGAACGATTAGCTATTTCTGCTGCTATCACTATTCAAGTATCGTTTCAGTACTGTTTCTAACATCTCACAATTTTTCAGTCATATTATCAAGGATGGAGAGCCCGATTGTTGTTCAGAGCGATGAAACAAGAGAAACTTGAAAAAGAAGCAATGGAAGCCGAGAGATTAGTCCAAGCCGCAGCCGTTACTATCCAAGTAAGATTTGAGAACCGATTTCTATATCATGGTAATGTTTCAGTCTTATTACCGCGGGTACAGGGCGCGAGAATTGTTCAATACGTTGAAGCAAGAGAAACTTGAAAGAGACCAGCTGGAAGCCGAAAGATTAGCTCAATCTGCTGCTGTTACTATTCAAGTAGACCATCCGACTTTTCTCCGTACAGTTTCTCCTTATCTTCAGAAACACTATCGGGGTTGGATAGCGAGACGAGATAATAGGCTAGCTAAAGAAACATATCAGCAAATGAGTTCGGACAAAATTTCCTCGGAAACTCTTCAGGACACTAAGCCTGATGAGGTTGTTCATTAACTGTATTCTCATAATTGAAATTGTTTGTAGAGTATGATAAGTCTACGTTTCATTTATGAAAGCGTTAGAAATCTCCAAAAAGAGCAGAAAACGATTGCCAGAATACTAGAGGTCTAGAAGAATTGTTAAACACAAAATATATTTTCTCTTAGGTTCTACGGCAGAAACGGGAACAAAAGTTTTCAGCATTGAAGCTGATAGCAATGGAGAAAGCTGCTGCTAGAATTCAGGTTGAAAAGCTGCTCTGAAATGTCATCTGAATTGTTACTTTCAGTGCTGGTATCGTGGAGAGCGAGTACGTAAAATTTACAAAGAAGAACTAATCAAACGACAAAAACTTATGGAATTCTACAGTCAAACTGTTTCCGAACATAATGGACAAGAAGAAGGTTTTCAATTCAAGTCTGCTCGTGAAAGGTTTTCTTCAATATAATTTTTTGGCAAACTGTTCATTTGAGGCTGTCGTTGTATTCCGAGTATTTATTCCATGATAGGATGTACGCTATGAAAGTCGGAGCTCATGGCATTAGTAACTCATATTCGCAGTTTGCTTCTTGATTTCTAGTTTTCAGATCGCTTAACTTCCCTAATCCCATATTTCATTGTGGAGTTTGTTGAGTCTCTACAAGGTGTTGCTGTCATCTTGGATGCAATAGAGAACTTAGATCGCGGAGTCTCAAGTACAGAAATCTTGGAGATCCTGTCGGAAATCCTCTCTAGCATAACTAAGGTAAGTTGGGTTTATATGATTGGAAAATTAAATTGTTTCGTTGCAGTGTAGGGATGTGAGAGTACACAAGCCACTTTGTGAGCACGGAGAAGACTGTGTAAAGATACTGTTTCACATTTTCCACGCATATTACAAAAACACGGCTATAACTAAAAACGCAGTGGAAGGGCTAGTAGCTCTTCATGAGAGACCTGACTTTAAATCATATTTCGGGAAATTGCCGTTTTATTTGAAAAGCGCTCAGCGCAGGTAAGTGGAAGCTAATTAGGCATAGAATAAGTTGCTTTTTAGGTTTGAAAGATATTCCCCAGAATCACAAGAAGCAAAAAATCTGAGGATGTTACAAAGCCTTATTAATTAATGATGATGTTTTACTGAACAAGTGTATTATGTATGATATATAAAACTAGGTACTAAAGTAAGAAAATGAATAATACTTAGAAGTTGGATGATTTATTTGATCAACACAAAATGTTCAAGGAATTGTTCTCAGATCATAATCTGTATCTGTTTTCTCAATTGTAAATTAATTCAAGGAGTTGGACTCGAACGGGAAAAGTAATATAATGAAACATATTATTTCTGTAAAACAATAGAAGGCTTTTGTCCTGAGTAAATGATTATTCACAGAATGTAATAGTAATCTAACAACTATGGATGATAACTGAAGGAAGAAAGCACAGCATAAGGCGCCTAGGATATTAGAATGCAACATACCAGTAAAGCGAGTAATTCTCTATCATAATTATCAACATTCACTATCTATCTCGACTGGAGCTACTAGAAGATCCATTGTTTGAAGAATGTTCCCTTTTTTGCATATCATCGAGAAATTGTTGTTGACTCATTAGTATCGCTCGGGCAATCATAGTATCTTCGCTCAATTTTCCTGACCAATCTGAATACGCTATTTGATAATGTCATCACACAGATCATCCGTTATCACACTCAAGGTCTTCGACATTTGGTGAATACTGCATTTACTAATTGCTAATATTTACCTTCCATTGCTAAAAGTTCTTCATAAAGCCCTGCTTGCTTGCTTGTACAAGGCTTGTCATTTGGAACGTGGGCAGCAAACTTATTAGTTCCAGAACAAGAAGGTTTCTGACTAGCTACAAGAAAAGTAATTAGTTGCGAACATGAGCAAGCTAAACATACATGTCTCTTCGTTCGACGGAGTCCTACGTCGATTAGGGCTTTTAGAATTTACTTTGTCTTCGCTTGATGCAGCGTCCAACTTTCTTAAGTACTCCATATAGGACTCCCTTGCAACATGCTCTTTGAGTTCTTCTTCTGTTCTCTCATAATCGGTCATGTGGATTTTATCATTGAGCATAGCTTCTTCCAAATGTGATGTTTCACTTTGATGAACGGCTTGAGTAATTAAATCGGCATCCGCAGAGCCGGGAACATGCCCGGGCAAACCCAATCCTACTCCAATTGTAGCAACCATTGGATCAATGATTGCATTATAATGATTATTGCTATGATAACTCAAACGGAGAGGGGCATTCATCTCTGCCGAAGCAGCAGGATGGAACGTGTTTATCGGCTCTAATCGATATTGATATATTTCTACTGGTCTTCCATACATTTCCGAAATAGCTTGTACTTCAGCATGGTTTCCATGTTCAGTGACATTACGCTTCCTATCAAGATAATTATCAAAATCTTCAGTGATGAATTGGGAAAAATGATCTCTATTACGTTCCTGGAATATTTCTAGTAATTTGATTATTAGACCATGTATTACCATATAATCCATACAAAGTCTACGAACTTCAGTATGCATTTCCTGGTCTCCATAAACTTGATGAGCTGAAAATGGAATGATGTAGCAATAGCATGAAGAAACAGTTATTCAGGGTACACAATCCAAAACTATACGCACCTACAGCACGGAACAGACACGCTCCATCTCCTTGCATTTCCTTGAGTTCCCAACCATTTGTAGCTCGAAGAAGCTCAGTGAAATCATCCTCTTCCTTAAAGAACTATTGATAAAGAAACCAATGGGAATTTCGCAATCTCTTGAGCGAGCTATTCGAAAGAAATAAGAAAACTATAAGTTAAGCGAGTTCTTATACTACTACGTTTGCATTTGAGTCAACTAAATGAAAAACACTTACTTCATTTGTTCTATAAGCATTTCCAACTTCATCGTCTGAATTTAACGGTGACTGTGATCCAGCACGATTAACTGAATGAGTGAATAATGAACATTTACACTAAGGATATATATACCTTTTTTAGCAGGAGGTGATAAAACTCTACTAGAGGATTGATCAGGATGCTTCAACCTTTTTGTCGCTGTTGGGCATCTTGCCTTTTCAATAAAACTGTAAAGATCATCATATTTCAGAACATCAACAACTTATGGCAAACCTTGATGATGTTCCTACATTGACTGATTTATCTCGATCTTTTGATATTTTTTTGGTTTTCGGTAATATAGTCATCTGCAATGATCAACTTAAACTAACGCAAATGATTGGAAAGAACGAGTATATAGATACGAGAGGAGAAAAATCAATAACTGAGCAGAAAATCTTTTGAGGAATACGTGTCAATGGAGAGTCGCAATCTAAATTTGATTCAAAAAGGTAAAATAGATTTACAGACAGGGAATAACGATATCAGAAGATGTGATGTTAATATCTTCATTGATTTTCAGTTTCGATAACGCTGAGACCGAACTTTCCGTTAATATCTAGAAAGAATTGGGAAATGGAGTAAAGTGGTCCTTCGTGCAGGGAGCCACAGCAGCCTATTCTGGCTGGAACTACTTGTCATGGGTTCAAATTCGAAAATGCTTCAAATAGCACAAGTGAAATTATCACCGTAAATACAAGCTGATTATTTGAATCGTCTTCCACGTTATGCTTTCTATAAACTCCTATTACACATATGTAATGAATACAATGTCTTTGAAATTCACTGACTGCTTCCTACACAATTTCTTTCAAGTTTTTCTATTGTAATCAGCTTTTTGCCAATGTTCTATCAACTTATCATTCTGTTTTTCAGTTTTCATCATAACGTCCAACTCTGAAATGTTGAAAAGCCAATTTTAAGTAAGACTCGATGAGAGATGGTTCTCGAAGTGATGTTTGTAAAATCAATTTATTGATTTAGAAAATAAACAGATAGAATTCGCTTACCGTTTTTTAGCTTCGAAAAAGTGTGGATAAAATGGACAAGATGAGGTTTTGCAGCTTTTCAAATCAATATTAGCTTCAATTATCTCTGTAGAAAAAGTCCAGAATAGCGCCATGGACAGAAGCATGGCGCCAATCAATCCGGACAAAACCTCTATATATGGATAACAGGAAGCTAAGCAATTTCTCTCATAACGAACTTTTAAAATACAATGAACTATATTATATCTGTATACAATACACAAAACACAGGGACATTACCGATCACATGTATACCGTATAGTGTCTAATATACTAGAAAAAGGCGGAGCGACGTTGCGAGACCCTTTATGACTTTGCTATTGCTGACTGCTGCAGCAAGCTAGTAGTATGGAAGAGAGAGAGAGAGAAATAAAAATAAAGAACATGTTTAGGAGTAGGGAGCATAGGAGAGGAGAGAGAGAATAGGAATGTGAAAGAAAGTAAATCATGGAAGAGAGAAGGAAAGAGGAAACACACAACGAAACAAAGCCAGGAAATAAAGATGGGGTCTAGGGAATATTACACGGTGTAGCGAGAAAACCGCATGAAGAGAGGAAGGCAATGTAGAGGGAGAAGAGGGAATATTGGAGGAAAAGAGGGAGAGATAGAGGGAGATCTGAGTGAAAGAGACAGGGTCAAACCAGATGACAAAAGAGCTTCGTCGAAGACAACAACAACTGAAAGACTAGAAGATTCTTTGAGCACATCGTAAACTATTATCAACAACGTTAAAGAAGAAGAAGATGATGATGAAGAAGAAGTCAAGAACAGAGATGATAATGAAGAAACATCGGAAGCTATACACACATATATTTCATATCTCGGGGTTGACGATGAAGTCCAACAGTCAATTCTTTGAATTCTTTGATCTTCTAAATGATTGGAGAATACACGTCAGAATTCGTATAGAATTATTGGGTTCAAAAACAATTGACCATTTGATAGAAGAAACGTTTCCGTTTCAAAAGTGATATCACCCCGTGTTGCATGAAAAGTCTTTTTCGTTTTCTGAATACTCGTGTTATACACATCACCCTCGTTCTTTTTCAATCTTTTTCTCTCTTCCATTTGCCATATGCTCTCATCCTCTTTATCTCACTATCTCAGCTTCTAAGGGATTTTGCCATGGAGACAGCCAAATACCAAAGAAGGAACAACAGATACAGCCGCGGCTCTCCACCTGCTGATTTCGCTCTTCATTTCTTTCTAATATATTCTACATAGGTAGCTATTTTAAATTTTATATATTCATGCGCTTCATTTATAGGAAGGCTAATTATGGTTTTTTTCGAATAATTTATAATAATTATATCAACATCACCAATTATGGATAAAGTTTGATAGATTGAACTTAACTTATTTAATCACTTTATCTTAGAACTTAGAAGAAGACGCCGATATCTCAAAGACTTATGAACGATGGGTCTCGACTCGTCCAAAGCCTTAGTGAGTCGTTTGACAACCTTTCGATAATTTGATGTTTGTTTTGCCTTCACTTAAATATATTTCGCAGTAAGCAGCTTGAAAAGCTTCCGCATACTCTAAGGTTTTATCAAACGAAATTTTGTGCAAATTTCCCATGTAAATATGTTGTCAACAGTTGGAGTCGTTCATTCACCTTCTCCCCCTCACTTGGGGAATACAGAAAGTAGTCCTTCCCAACTTCCTTCAACATAGCAATTTCGGCAAGTAAACTATGGTGTGTGGAAGGAAGAATAAACAAATTATTCGCATTTAATGAATGTTTAGCAAATCCCAATATGATAATATCTATAAATACCATGATGCTCGTTGTTCATATAAAGCCAATGACGTCAATAGCATTTTCAAATTTTAACGAGAAGCGCACGGTTGTGCTGATGGGCAGAGTTTTTCTTTAATTAACAATTTCGATTTCAGCTTTTCGTTCAGTATAAATCCTCGAGGATGGATATACTGGTGGTGGACGTGCATCGTATCAATAGCTTGCTCTTACAATTTAATTTTTACAACCCTTATTGTATATGAAGAAATACAAGATCACTTTTATCTATACTGGATTTTGGGTAATATAGTGTCTGATGTCATATTCATACTTGACATGATAGCGTTATCCTTACTGAGTAAGTATTTTCATAATCTTCACTCATTTTTCATTTTTATTACAGATTTCTATGAGAACGGTTGTGAGATTGTCGATTGGGGCTCGACAAAAATCAATTATATAGAAAGCTGGAAGTTCTTAGTTGATTCGGCAGCCATCTTACCTACAGATTTACTACTTTTCACGGCTCCTCACTTTTCACTTCTGCGTATTAATCGATTCTTGAAAATCTATCGATTCGCTGAACTTTTCGAAATGGCGGAGCAGAAGTTACCTAGGGTTTGAAAGATCACACTGCTCTTTAAACCATCAATTAAGGGAATCGTTTCTATTTTCAAAGTAATTGGTATTTGCACAATAATGTTTCACTGGAACGCTTGCGGATTTTATATTTTGAGTTTAATAAGCAACGAGAACAGTAAAGACAGTCAGTGATGAAATACAGATAGTTTTAATTGAGTGCATTAAGTTTCTAATGCCACTTTTGATGATGATACTCTGTGGCCATGGCCATATCTGCCACAGAAAGTAACGAACTTTTATTATCCAACCTGTTCACACTTTGCAGTGAGTCTCAGGAAACTAGTTTCGGTGTGCATGATTAATATTTGCAGAGAACTTGTGATTACTCTGTATTCTATACAGATGAGGAACGAGAAGCACATTTTTGGGATTTGTACGATATATGGAAGAATCAGTTTGTATAATCAGCGTTCGAATTAGTTCAAATATAGCTTTCAGGTCTCTTTTCATTACATTCTCGGATTTCACGAAAAAGTACTCAGTGTCTATATACTGGTCTGCGCTAACTATGACAACTCTTGGAGAACAAGTAGCTAATTACCGAAAAAGGGCAAAGTACGTATTTTTCATTACAGCCATCTCCAAATGAAACATATCAAACTGCCTTTGAAATATTCGATACGGTTATTGGAATAGTCATTTTCGCTGCAATTATGGGGAGTGTGGGAGACTTAGTTCAGAATTCAAATAAAGTTGAGACAGAATGGCGTCAGTTGATGGACGGACTGAAGCAGTATATGGATTATAGGTAAGTTGTTAGCTTCTTCATCAACTTATCCTGTTCCTCGAAGACACTTAGACGTCGATTTGCAAAAAAGGATTCTCATGTATTGCGAATACGAGATGAACAAGAAAGAGTTAATGAAAGAGTTAGAAATTAAAACAAACCTGCCTGTCAAGTTGCATTCGAAACTTAATTCTGGTCTTCATTGGAATACTCTGGCGAAAACTGATTTTTTCAAGGTTTGATTAGAACTGTCAGATGTTATTACTTCAATTCTCACTTCTCAGGATATTGAAGTGCCTTTTCTTCAAGATTTGATGTCTTATGCAGTTCCCATGGATTATGGCCCTGGTGATGTGATCTTCACAGTTGGTGATATTAATAAAGTGCGAAAAAACATGAAAGGCATCTTTATTTTTTTGACTTTCAAGGAAATGTACATCGTGCTCTCGGGAGAGTTGAGCTATCTTGATCTTCAAACAAGCACACGTTCACATTTTACACATTTGGATGTAATAGGAGAACGACAACTGGTTTGGTTTGAAAACCACAAACTTGGCAATCGTCGAGGTGGAATCTTATCATCCGAAGAATATTCGGAGGTTCGTGATATATTCAGATGAAGAGAAAGTATTTGTAGCATTTCAGGTATTAATTCTGTCAAGGGCAGACTTCAATTTGGTTCTCGAGGATTATCCTTGTCTGCGGAAACTTTTCATAAAACGTGGTATGTTTTTTTAAAATCATAATAGTTTATATTAAATGAACATATGAACAGCATTTGATTTACAATCACGCTTTGTGGAGCTACGTAATGAAACTTTTCAATTGGCAAATGCCACAGATGGATTACGATTAGAAGATAAGTTGGATTACATTAAAAAACAAATGGAGAATTTTGAAAGAGATGTAAATAGGCAAATTAAAAGATTCATTGTAAGTTTTCTTTTTTCTTCATGTTCGCGCTCTTATTCAGCTTTCAACATCTTTGTTTTTCCAGAACTCATCAAGAGATATGAAGACGCGATTGTATAAACTTGAAAACAATTTTCCGGGCAAACATCGTCGGAAAAAGATTTGAAAATTGCATTTTTTTCATTTCAAATTATTAACTAGTTTGATTTAATTATTAATGTTTTCTTTTTGTTGTTCGAAAACGCTCCCACGTTTGTTGATATTGCTCATATCTTCGTTTAGCTTCTTCACTCCATCTCTCTTGTAGAGTAAGTTTATCTGAAAATTAATTTTCAAAATAAACATTTGCAGTTTTTACCTTCGAAAAACGAGCAATCGAATGAGTTTTGGAAGTTGTCAGCAAAGTTTAAACTATTCTGAAGATTTAAAACAGTCTGAAACCTGCTGTTAACGAAGAGAGCGGAATCTAGAGTCTCACCGGTCGGCTCAGTTGAGCCATTGGAGATTGTTCGGACAATATGGGATGTTGAGGAAAAGGATTGACGGGAGTGGGTACACAAGGAGCATACCCACTTATCACCAAATTAGGTGAGAATGAATGAGACAATGGTATTTGTAATAAGTATTCTTGGGAAGATGTGCCTGAAATGGAGAGAAGACAGTTCTCTATTCATTAGGATACTGCCACCAGCTGCTCTGTGAATACGATTTTATTCATAATTTCTTTAATGTTATTATAACAAAGGAAGAATGTTAATGATAAGATTTTTAAAAGTTTTACCCGTTCAAACAACTTTTCAATGAACAAAAAAAGTTTTGGTTAGAGGAGAGAGAGAGAGAGAGAGTAAGAGAGAGAGAGAGAGAAAGGCACTAAGCAAAGGACTATATAAGAATGAAAATAATGGAATCGATGACTTCGTTTGCAGAAATATGATGATGATTTGATAACAGTTTGCTTGAATATAACATAAAATACATGGGAAAGGTAATG